TTCGTAGATATCGACTAGCCCCCTGCATGTCCGTTTTCTGTTGACCCCGCTAAGGTCAGGAATGCGGAAGTAAACAATGCAGTGACCGTCCATTCATAAATCCGGACGCAACAGCTGTGTTTGCGATCACAGTGTGTCTAACCAAGGACATTGTCGCTGACACTTGAAGAACTCGAACAGTGTACTCTTGTTTTGTTTATGTTATTTTCCTTCTTGTATTTTCCGAATTAGTAGGTTTTAGTCTCCGTAGAATTTAGTTCTATTACAAGTAGTTTAGATACAACATCAAAAAGTGACAGTCACCACGAACTCTAGAAGAAGTCTAGACTTTGCTCAACGAATTATGCTGTGCCCTGCGTAATTCGTGTTTTTTATGTTCACTATTCTACCTCGATCTGAACTCATGAACTGGAGTTTCTATGAGCCAACTTCAAATAACTGTATTGACTCTAATGTTTTCCTCTTGGTTACAACGAGGACGTTGTAAAAACTTGAGGGGGAATAGTGTTACGAACCAGAATGCTTGATTATGGAAATCTAGCGCCCTCAAGATTCACTCTGTCCATGAAGTACACAATCTTCTTGTTGTCTTTTATAGTTCCTATATTTTACCCATTTATCGTAAATTGCCAACTTGCACTTTTATTCCCAGGGTCTCTTACCAAGCACAGCGCATGATGCAATACCACGCGCGCTACTGTATGCATTATTCATGTAGCGATGTACATGTGCGCGACTGACCACACCTCCCTTCGCCCCAGCGAGCTAAGTTCCTTTCCCCATAGCATGCGTGCTTTGGCGATCTCCGAGAGACTGCTCAGCGGCACGCAGCATTTCTCTCCCCCGTGCGTTACCCATGAACACTAACTGGAGTTCTCGGTCCAGTTTTCCAGTCCCGTACTTAGCTCGAGGGAATGGAATGTTACCCTTGCGTGGTCGCGTAGCTGGGCGTGGTAAGACATCCTGCGGTGTCAATAACCTGTGACACAGTAACCTTTTAGCTTGTCACTCACTCCATCAAGGTTGCTCGAGATGTTGTGTAAACACTTTTGCACTCTGATCTAACTATTTGCACACATCCCTCTCTGTATTTGCACACGCCTCTCTCCATGTTTTCCCTTATGTAAATGCACACGTTTCTAGTCTCTTGCACTAGGCACTCTTAGTAAATCATGTGACTAGTCATGTGACCCTAAGACATGGAAGATTACTATTGGTTAATTCCTAAATCAGTGCTCATGCATTATTTAATCCCGAGACTTCTACTGCCTATAAATACCGGAGGTTTTCCTCACTTTCGGCAGTGCGGCGAACCACGAAACCAATGTAGTGCGAACGAACCCTAAACCCAAAGTTGTGCGGCGAACTTATATGTTGTGCGGTAAATCGTATGATGTGCGACGAACTCGACTCTGACAGACCGATTGTTGTGCGACTCTTGTCACTACGAAGCATCGGCCTCCCTCGGTGGTTGAGGCGCGGTGAAGTAATAGTGCAATCACTAGTACTAGTGTTATTATGAAGCATCCTTCTCCTAGATCCCTTGAGGAGTGTGTAGAAGCTGGTGAAATAGTAATACACTAGTCCCAATGGTGCTGTGCGGTTTCGAATGGCCATTGGACTGCTAGTCTTAGCTTGAACATGTTGTGCGGTTGTCTGATGTTCAAGCCCAGCCAGAGCTAGTTCATCCCCGTCACCACAGCGGACCGCTCCCGCTGTGGCCAGCCGGCTCCCCGTAGCCATTTCCCCCGTAGTTCAGCTATGCTAGCCCGGTCTTGTCATAAACACTATCCTTGGTGCAGAGTGCCTCGATTGACCTTGGATACCCGATACGCCACATGCACACTTTGGTTCGAACTGTAGTGCGGCCTGGTACACTTGCTGGCCCCGTCCAGTTGTCGTTGCCTCCCCGGTCATCGTAGCGGACCGCTCCCGCTTCGGTCTGACCGTCGATAACCCGTACCGTGCCGGTGCCCACTCAGTTCGTATTGGTTGACATGGTTTTGCCATTGTACATAGTACATGTATAGACTTTGTAGACACCAACCTGTTATCTCTATAACGCTACCAAAGACTATCAAAAGGAGAAACCTTATAGGTTGATGAAATCTAACAAAGTTATGTAAAGTGATGAGATGAATAAATCAGTGTATTGACATGTGTGACTGTCACCCCAAAGCTCTGTTTCCCTCCAACTTATTGAATTATTGTTGACTCTAATAAATGTTTCATGAACTGCTATTAGGGAACGCAACAATAGCAACCGCACGCGCCTGTGTGTCGTGCCAATGCTTGCGCGCGCTCAGTGCGCCGAATAACAAAACGAACTACTAATTCAAATTTTCCCACGGTGCGTCTTAAGACGCACCGTAGGAAAGGCTTTCTTTCGTTGATTACTTCAAAATGGTAGCTTGCCAGAAAGATTAATTTCACAGGGAGTTTAGTGCACTTACTATCTTTTAACCAAGTATGTTTTTCAACAATAATACGCCAGTTACTTTTTCGGATGGCTGCAAGTGATGGACTATAGCTTTAACTGTCCTTTTTTCTTCTTCTTTTTAATAACTTATCATTTTCCACCCCACACCTGGCCCGCCTCCGAGAAGCAACAATTGAATTACGGTGTACAGAAAAACATTGTCTTTGTGAAAATCAAGTGAGGTGTAAAATATTCAAAAGAAACTATGTGGAAGCCAGGGCGGATCGAATTTTCGGTGGGGGAGAAGTGATGATGGTAAATTATTATGTTTTCGGCACTTTGGCATAATTATTAATGGGAAATGTTTCTCCCGTTCAAGTACTGCTGATGTGGTTGTCATTTTTTGCATCACGGTTAGCAGGTTATGCATCATTTAATTGGCTGAACATTTCAAAAAGCCTTTCGGGTGTGGAGTAGGGTTTGAGAGAGGTGGAGACGAGCATGTTTTTGAGTGACGGGCCTGTTTCAAAGTGACCATTGGGGTTTGGAAAAACAGGATCTGAGCATATTCTATTAAGTCGGTGAGCAAGCTTAGCTTTAGGGGTAGGCTCGTTTTTGTATGTTGGTTTAATGGTTGCATGAATATAAGAAGAGATATTGATGACTGTCTGTGGGTTTGGAGAATATATTGTCCGTTGATAGGAAACCTTGATTTAAGTGGACGAGAACATCAAGGAAGGAACGATCATCGGGTGCGTGAATTTGATTGTGGGATGAAAAGAAATTACAAAACTCTATGAATGTGTTAAATGTGTCTTTATCCTGTGTCCAAATAAGAAAGATGTCATCCATGCATCTCCACCAGCTAGTTTAGAGGGTTGCACGGGGTCTGTGATAGAATATTATTATCTTATATATGTAACCATTCTGATATAACTGAAACCACGACTCTATTTACCCTCAACCTATCCTGTGTAGCAATTAAATTTCATTGAAAAGCAGCGAAATTTCGGACGTAAAGCCAATTGTATGAAAATATTGCCTGTCAATTCATGTGGATAGCTCATCATAGAATGTTACTTTTTCCACTTCTGTTCATTCTGATAAAAATGTAGCCCCGAAATGTTATCATACACCCACTTTAACATGTGGTTTTGGTTTTGAACTCGCTCAAACTAATGTTGATGTTCACTTCGTGACCAATGACACGATGGGTTTACGAGCAGCACGTGCGGCAAGCAGCCCCAATAACCTTGGACCAACTTATTTCCCAAGGTAACTGGCCTCCCCAATAGTTGCCTGTACAGATGTTTATTCAACTAGGGGGTACTTGGCCGTACCATGGAGGAATATGCGCCGATTCCAACTCTCCCGGATGTCATTTCAAGGCTCTGCATGGGTTTATCGTTAAATGTTGCTGCATGGGATTTCCCCTAACATAAGGTAGGGTCCGGGGTCTTGACACGAGGAAAACCTTGATTTCCACGAAATTCGGCATTTGACGCCATGTTTAAAACGAACTTTTTTTAAGTAGTTCAAAGGGAATATACTCTATAGATCACTCGTAGAAAGTAGCATGCTTTTTAAAATGATGAAAATGTCAATACGCTTTGTTTAATATTGGATTAAATAAAGCAGGTTCACCAAATCAAGAATGGATCAAAATGGCTTCTTTAGAGATGATGCTGAACTCATACACGCCCAGGGATGCGAGAGCCACTATATACAAAATACTTTTTAGAAAAAAAAATATACCGCAAACTGTTTTTCTGTGAAGTATGAAACATGATTTGTTGAGGTTTTTGTGAAGACTATAATGCAACGATGGAGGAAGGAAAAGTGGACCCCAACATATACCTTTAATGTGTGTTAGTGTTTGAGTCGGTTAAATTGAAATGATGCAAATCATTACTCTGTAACTATAACCCAAGGGCAGGCGCGGTTCTAGAACCAATATTTGGGGGGGGGGGGGGCTATAGCACGGTGGATCAAGAATATTTTTCAGGGAGGCGTGCTGAAATGTTGACCGGTTATTTTTTCCAGACACTTAGGCCTCCGAAAATCAATAGGTGGTGGGGGGGGGGGGGGGCTCATGCCATATTTTCAATGGGGAGCGCCAATAAAATCCTAAAATCATTCACAATATATTAACTAAAACACCCTTGTCACGGCTATTTCTTCTTTAGGGGAGACCGTTCGCATGTACATCACAATCATTCTTTTTGCTAATGCAATTCGTTTTTTACGGAATTTATTTATTTTGGGGGGGCTAGACAAAATTTTTGGGGGGCTAAAGCCCCCCCCCAGCCCCCCCCCCCCCCCCCCCCCCCCCCCCTAGAACCGCGCCTGCCCAAGGGGCTTTATGAAACATCAAATCATAATATCTGCAGCATTGTACAGTTCAACAAGTTACGGTTTTTCTGTATTACATATTTTTCCCCACGGTATTTGTGTTGCTGTTTCAAGGCGACGTATTTTGCCATGGGTCTCATTATATTCCCCTCCGAGAGCATTTACAGCCCCTTTCATTAACTTGGTACAGCCCAAGATTTTCCCGGAAGATCCGGGAAAGATCACGACCCATAGGCGATGTGCCTGCACTTCGATGGCATAGACCGCAGCTGCTTTGCGTTTACCAGTGTTGTTACCACAGCGCAGTAGGCCGGTGAACACTTTGTTACGCTGAGCTGTTGAGGGGATAATTCGTGCTTACAGTGATCGAGGCACGCAACGACGCCAAGTCTCAGCTCTTCTTGCTTTGATCATAGGGTCTGCTGAAGATTAAAAGTCACATTGAAAAGCTTCGAATAAAAATCGTTCGGACCCTACGTGGACCTGAACCAAGACAGGAAGGACACGTATCATCATGCAAGCCTTCCTGATTTTCTTTGCAGCCTTGCAGATGCTGGTTACTGCACAAGCGTAAGTAGAATATGTGTTCAATATCTGATATGGTGGCAACGTTTAACTTTTTTGTATGCATGTTTTGCAGGCTGTTTTACACTACTGAGCAAGGTCACAAATAATATTACGAACAAATTAATCTAACCCCCATAATATCATTAAAAGAAAAGAAATCAAATTTGGCAAACAATTTTTTTATAAGGAAATAAATATGTGCCTGGTAGGTTATAAGTGGCTTGGACGCTGATAGCGGTGCATTTAGCTCTTTTGGTCAAAAAGTCAAAAACAAGTGTCACGCGCGCAATTAAAGGCTGCGGCGAAACTTAAAATTTCGGGACATTTGTCTCCAACAAACAACAATACTATGAAGAAAACACTGTAAAACGTAGTAATAGAGTTCAAAAAAAGAATTTAATCAAATAAACAATTAAACCAAATAAGCTAGAAAATAAACAAATCAAAATGTTAAATGAAAAGTAAACAAATAAACACTTAACTGGGTATGAATCAAGTAAACGGAATAACGAGGAACAAAATTAAACCCAAAAGAAAACACCAAGAAATACCAAACAAATAATGTTATACAATCTCCTCTGAATAAATCATGTGATTTTCACTGGTCTTCAACTCTTCAATTTAATTCCTCAAATCAAACTTTCCAAATCAAATCTCCAAATAATACTTCAGGTCAAATCTTCAATCAATACTTTAAATCAAATCTTCAATCAACACTTCAAATAAGATCTTGACACTTCAACTCAAATATTCAATTCAATACTTAACAAAGTATGGTGGGCCATCCATGGGTGGGCCCACCAATATATTCGCGAATCACGCGTTGCTGGCTCCTCCGGTTGGTTTCCGGCTGTCCCTTGGACTTGGATGTCTTTATTAAAACCCTCCAGAGAGCGGGCAGCTCTCCTACTCAGATGCAACAAGCAGGCGCGCCGTGTGGCTTGGGGTAGGGTCTTTCTTGGGATCGCGAGCATCAACATCGGCCGATCAGGCTATGCCAGATAACGCCTTACTCTGGCGCACTGACCCTGAGCTATCTGAAATTTATAATTTCAAAACCTAAAACTTCTACATTCTGCAACAATAATCACTGTAACTATAAACAGCATATTGGTCAACCAAATCATAAAAATAACCGTCATATGCACAGACATAACAATTTCTGACCTCATCCTTCATAAAATTCCACTGACTTAATATAAAATTATCAATTCTCAAACCATGATTCAGTGACATAATCTACATTTAAATCGACTGATAAGTAATTCAACTTGAATTACTTATCTGAGTTTTTCATTAGAATTGAATTCTAATGAAAAACTCAGAAAGTCATATATGACGTCATAAGAATAACTACATGTACGCACATCGGTGCTAATTGAAACTAGTCTCAGTAGCGTTCTTTCGTTTTAGACAACCCACAAATTGTCGGTGATTCGGATTAAGAGGGCTCATAACAAAGACGAGACAATGAAATGCTGGTTTGTAACCCAACGAATTATGGTTACGTCAGACGGAAATGCCATTCAATCACGTACTCCTTCTTACTGGCAACAAAGGCCCTCGCTCAGCTTCCCAACACGGACTCAATGTAAAGCACTTAACGGGCTTGCGGCAAAACCACTGTGGATCAAACCACTTTCTTGTAGGGAACAACACAATTTCATTGGTTTAAGTCCCAATTATTGCAGACAATTTTTTTTACACGGTTTATGTAGGTTTGTTTTGTATAGGGAGAAGATAAAATAATGCTGTACAATTTAGTGACCACATTCCCAAAACATAATTCAATATATCATATTTTCAATTCCTTCCATTCGTCTTTTGCCTGCCCTCCCCTTATATAGAAAGACCAAAGTTTGCAATGAAGGCACGTGTTATAGAAAACAATTGAACAGATGACAGGTCAGGATGATTGACGAGTCAGAAAAACTCAACCGGTTACCACGGGCGTCGCCAGGACTTTTTAGATGGGAAAAGCACTAGCCTTGTTCAATGCGGTCTCTCGGCTTTTTGTCGGAGGGAGATAATCGGGCCCTGCACCCACAATCAACGCGGTTACGTGCGTGTACGACCCTTGTCCGTACGAACGGCTAACACAACCAGCAAGCACACACACGTGAGTACGGACTGTACGCATGGTGTAATAAGGCAGTAAATGTACATGTACATGTAGGCCTACTGTGTTCTGCGTGTGGGTGTATACGTATGCATGGCTGTTGTACGAGTACACGTACGTGTGTGTACATGTACATTGTACGTGCGTACGTGCAAGCATAGCCTCGCTGTATGGTACAAGTTACTTTCTCACTAGCAGCGTACGGGCATCGATATGTGCACGCAAATATGCCTTGCCAAGTTGATTAGGGATTTTCTTATCGGCGAATTTTTTTTATCGGCGAATCGATAAGCCCAACGCCTTGGTCAAGGCTAGAAAAGCACTGGAAATGTTGGGGGGGGGGGGGGGAGCTTTGACGCACGCTGTTCATAAACGTTTATATACGAATTTATGTACAAAAAACATTTTATGATCCGCTCGGCAGTTCCAACTGCTAAACATACATGAAATTAACATTCATAAAAACCTAAGACAGTTTACCGATTCCTATTGGTCGAGAGCCCGTCACGTGGCCAGTTTTAAACGGTTGAAAAAAAAATTTGCAATAATGTTTTAAAAGTCTACATATCGATTATATGAAATGCCTTTGTATGTACTCGCATGTTGTGGTCACGTGACGCCAACGTGTTCCTGACAAATGCAAACCGATCAATTTGAATTGTATGTTAATCACTGGAAATATTGGTATGTGAAATATTTTAGTTATGGTTTTCAGTATACTATTACTATGATAAACACAAATAATGAGGCAGAGCAGTCGGGGTTGTAGCGGCGTGACTACGGTTAAGCTGCTAGGGCACTTTTGTGAAAAATGGCTCTGTATAAGAATCAAGGGGCATTTTTTGGCAACTTCGTCCCCAGTGCTTACTTTATTTCCAACCTCGTTTCCAATAGTAAGCCCTGGAAAGGAAACTTTTTTCCTGTATCCAGACTCGATACCGCATTTGGATAGTAATGAATTTATATCGTGTTCTTAGTGTTGTTATTTACAACTTGCATTACGTGTTTTTACGATCATTGTAATAATAACGTCCACGCCTTCTCAAAAATACACCTTCCTTTCCAAATTGCTCATATTAATATGAAATGTGATACTGCATATTGGCGGGAAAAGATTGTAACATTTTAACTTCGAAAACAATCTTGTTTTCGTAACTCACGGCGCGACGAATTGATTGTGTTTTTACCCCAGAAACCGCATACAAAACAAACGCTAATGTAACGCACGGGCAGGCACCAGACTGTATTCCTCATTTGTAAACGTGTCCAAAAATCGTTCACATGCGAATGATTCAATACCAGGGTGAAAGAGCAGGTAGTGGTGGGCGCGCACTGCTCGATGCCTTGGGGACGAGGTAACATTTTTTGGTGAAAGCCGAAAAGCCTAGTTCCCAACTTTTACCCCAAAATGCACCTTGATTCTTAAATAGAGCCTTTTTTCAGAAATCCCACTAGACTAAATTGCCCTGGCAGCTTAGTCACGCTGCTGCTGCTCCGACTCCTCTGTCTAATGTTTAGTTGTAGGAACTGCCGAAAGGATCATAAAATGTTTTTTTTTTATTTGTATATACATGTAAACGTTTATGAACAGCGTCTCCAAGCGTCAAATCTTGTTCCCCCAACCGAGCGCTTTTCCCCTCTATAGAAATATAAATCCTGGCGACGCCCATGGTAACCGATTGAGTTTTTCTGACTCGTCAATCGTCCTGACCTGTCATCTGTGTAATTGTTTTCTATAGCACATGCCTTCATGGAGAACTTTGGTCTTTCTATATAAGGGGAGGGCAGGCAAAAGACGAATGGAAGGAATGGAAAGTAAGATATTGCATTAGGTTTTTGGGAATATGGTCACTATATTGTACAGCGTTATTTTATTTTCTCCCTATATTTATATAAAACAAAAATTCATAACCGTGTTAAAAAAAAACGTGTTTGCAATAATTGCAACTTAAACCAATGAAATTGTGTTGTTCCCTACAAGAAAGTGGTTTGATCCACACGGCTTTACATTGAGCCCGTGTTGGGAAGCTTAACGAGGGCCTTTGTTGCCCGTCTGACGACTTTTAATTCGTTCGGTCGAAACTTCGAGTCACGGAAAGTTGGGTTACAAATGCAGCATTTCATTGGCCCGTCTTTGTTATGAGCCCTCTTAATCCGAATCACCGACAATTTGTGGGTTGTCTAAAATGAAAGAACGCTAGTAGATCATTAATCAAACGTCAATTTTCTCAACAAAATATTAACAAAATTCGCTGAAATCAAGAATTTGGTATCTATAGTAACGAATAAAACTACTCACGGTAGATCGAGCAGATGTACCACCTCAAAAGTGGAAATTTCTGGTTCCAAACTCAACGGTTCTGGCGCGACCGCGATCGCAAAGTCCTCTGCCCTTCGTGCGCTTTCTGCAGCATTCCAAAGCCAGTGGGTGAAGCGCTATTTGCATAAAAATTACTCGCTTTCACTTTCTGCTTGGACTGTTATAATAGTGAATGACAGTCTAATTAAAATCATGGTACTTGGTGCACTGTCTTTTTCAAAAAAAAGTGGTATTTTGGCATCAATTTCCATCGCTGGTCGGCTGACCAGAAACAAAACTTTTTTCTTTCTTTTTTTTACAAACTACCCCCAATTTACCATTTTAATTGGTCTGCATTTTGTTTGCAATCTCTTACACGCCTATGAACGGGTACAAGCCAGCTAGACTAGTTCCCTGACCTTACACATTCCCAGACGACTATTAACTGCTCCATTTCATCTTCAGAACCAGAATACAGGGAACATGATTGTTTTGCTTGGTTTCTGCCGCATCTACGAATACAAAACTTCAAACACGCCAGTGTAACAATATTTGCTATACAATACTAGCCCCCAAATACATCCA